GAACACGTGAGAGCACAATTAGACATGCTGTCATTAGGACACCTCTCCCCAAGTATAGTAAACCGGGTCACCTAAAGGAAGCACTACTTGGCATACAGGATAATTACCCCGCCATTTAAGGCTACCAGTGGACCCCACTAAAAAGAATTGTGGAAGTACTATAATGCCCTTGGATGTGTGACCTTGTTAGAAAATAGGCGATTATTGGTAGTGATATCTGTCCCGTTACTAGATAGCGAGAGTATATTCGAGATATCCCAGGTTATAAACTTACCCATTCCCTACCCCAGAAGAGATCAAGGTTTGGGAATGATAGCTAGGTACAAGGTGGAAGCAGACTACATAGCATTAAATTCGGGGAGAACGAAATTCATGTTGCTATCAGCTGAAGAAGCTAGAAGGTGTAGAGATGATACCCTGGGGACTTGTACCTCGTTGAGCCCTATCTATAAAACTGGTAACCGCAGACTGTGCATACTAGAATTGTTTGAAGGGAGGGGGGAAGGAATCTAAAGAATCTGCCAAGTAGAGGTATTAACAAACCGGCATTACCACAAGCTATCAGTGTTTCAGACGGGGTGTGGGCAGTAGCCACACAGAAACATATCAGCCTGTCTAGGGTATGTGGGGAGAGTCCACAAGGACATTAAGAATAAGGCCACCGTTATCCCTGGTGACGCTACCCATGGATGTTGGGCGGTTGGGGTGTCCATCTCTTGCCCCCCTATTACCAGATGGAAGAAAGGTATGAAGAAAAGATTCACTCATAGAGATGATTGGTAGAGGCTTAGTCAATTGTACAGAATTATGGGAGCCGATAGTGAAGAGATTCTCTAATGTTACCTTAAATAAGATGCCAGTATTAATGAAGCCAATAGAAAAGATCGATATGGATCACTTAAGAGATAAGTTAAGTGCGTTGGGAGACGAAGGTGTAGCTTGGGAAGACGATGAGCAGATCGCGATAAGTTGGTCAATAGTAATGGGTACATTCCTAGTTATAGCCATCGGGGTGTAATAATATGGAAGATTAAGAGTAAGAGAAGATTGGCGAACGACAGTCTAGTGAGCCTGCAGCAACTCGAGAGGGAGATGCGAGCGGTGTTCCTTACTCAGACAGGACTGGCGAAGAAATTGCTGAAAGACCAATGGAGGTGGCTGGCGTGAGACCACCACGTGCGGCGGAAAAACCTCCCACGGCAGAGAGGAAAAACATTGACCAAGAAGAACAAACCCTAGTGAACACATCTGCACCTACAAACACACGCACATTTCCTTGCATGTAGAACAAAAAAAGAAAATGAAAAGAACATTTCATTGCATGTAGAACAGAGAAAAAATGAAAAGAACATTTCATTGCATGTAGAACAGAAGAAAATGAAAAGAACATTACATTGCATGTAGAACAAAAAAAATGAAAAGAACATTTCATTGCATGTAGAACAGAAGAAAATGAAAAGAACATTACATTACCTGTAGAACAAAAGAAAATGAAAAGAACATTTCATTGCATGTAGAACAGAAGAAAATGAAAAGAACATTACATTACCTGTAGAACAAAAGAAAATGAAAAGAACATTTCATTGCATGTAGAACAAAAAGAAAGTGAAAAGAACATTTCATTGCATGTAGAACAAAAGAAAATGGAAAGAACATTACCCTTGCATGTTAGAAAGTAGAATAGAATTGCATGAGACAAATGCATGGTGCATGTTAAATGATGTAATTGGGTTTAGGTGTCATTTACGGGTAAATGACAAATCGGTTAGGGGAGGATTGTGGCACCTTGCATTATTAGAAATATTCATAGAAATATGATTTAATTTTTTTTTTTTTTACTCGGTTTACTAAACAGGTTGTTGATTTTTTTTTTTTAAACGGAAAATAATTGAGTTGAAAATAATTCACTAAGATTGTACTTAGACGATCCTAAGGGGAGAAGAGGAAAGAAGAGAAAAAGGAAAGAAGGGAAGATAGAAAGAAGGGAAAGAGAGGTCAAGAAATGCAAAAAGCGGTCATTAACAAAAACACGTATCAGAAAGGTATTTAGGTCAACATCTTGGCCGATTTTCGAGAGACAATGAAAAGAAATATTATTTAGAAGGGAAAGTCATTTTGATAAGAATGTCAGTCGAAGCGCAGATGACCGACTTTTGCGTAGAAAGACTCATTATCAATTTGGAGTAAAGGGAAATTTTAGAACAATGGGAACGAAATTTTAATCTGGAGAAAGGGAAATTTTAGAACAATAGAAACGAATTTTTTTTTTTTTTAATCGGAGAAAAGTGTCTTTTTGGGTTGAGGGGAGTGACCGGTGGAACTATATACAGATTCTGACCTATTAAGAATTGGAAACCCATGATAACAAAGTGGGGACATTTTCAATGTAGATAATTAAGATTTTCTGACTGTCGGGTCTGACAAAAAAACAAGAGGTGAAAAAACGATTGTCTCAGCTCACAGATGGCGCCAATATTCTTCCCTGAAGTCACATCTAATTAGCGGCGGGCTGTTTGACAGAGCCCAGGTGAGAAAAAGCCAAGATTATCATTTTAAATGACGTGCGAAAAAAAGGCCAAATTAGATTTTGTTTTTTTTAAAAACAAGAACGATGTAACCACGCCCCGAAAATAGGAGAAAGGATGCTCGATCAATAACAATTGGTCGGAAACGGTCACGTGATCTGCGGAAAGGAAGAGAAAGAAGTGCTCGATCAGGAATCATTGGTCGAGAGCAGTCACCTGACATACGAGGGACCGGGAAAGATGGGTGCGCCTCCCCACCAAGGGCACTGTGAGGAAGTAGGGGTGAAAACAATAGCGATAATGAGAAGACAGAAATAAGGCAGCTATTGGAATTATTGAGAAACCCCTGACGCCGACAGACCCACCCCCAGTTTGCTGCAGCGTCAATAAAAGCAGGGCCCCAATCAAGAAAAAATCAGTTCAGCCCGGACGGCAGCGAAGAGATCATCCGGACGACAGAGAGTTGCGGCTGAGTTGCGGCAAGAAATCCTTCCAGCCCAAGTCGAAGACAAGAGAACTTCCAGCCCAAGCAGACGAAGAAGAAGATTACTTGAAAGCCGCAGAGAAGTTGCAGCCAAGTCGAAGACAAGAGAAGTTGCAGCCAAGTCGAAGACAAGAGAAGTTCTATCTTAGTCGATTTAAGAAGAAGAAATACAACTCAAGTCGAAGAGAAGAATCAACTGCGAATGATCGATAGAAATTAGCCCCAGTGTCGAACTAAACCACACTCCGACATACACAATTCTAAAGAGTAGGCAATTCGAAATCTTTAGGTTGTGTGATAGAAGCTTGTGCCATAGTCCACAGAGAGCGGTCGGGAATTGAGAACAATTTTTCTTTATGTAACGGACATTAGATATAAAAGGTTGTCACCCTTTTTTATCAGTAATTTTTTGTCTCGTGAGTTTTTTTTTCTTTTACTTGTGTTTTGCCACCCCGTCGGACTCAACTTGTATCGCCCCAATCCCTGCTGGTCTCGTCTGTCTAAGATCTAAACACAACGTGGGTAGACAGACCGGAGATCAGTACAGTTGCTTCAGTAACCAGGTATTGGAAGCGAGTTGGGAAAGGCGAGGCTGGTGATCATCCAACCAAGGGGTTGGAGCGCACGCTTGGAACCAGGAGGAGCGACCAGGAGGAGCGACGTCACAGTTGGCGCCCGTAACAAGGGATTCGACCCTGGGCCAGGTGTGTAACCGTCACATGTGGTGCCATGACCAACGGATCAACCCTGAGACAACCACGTCACACATCTGAGTCCTTGCTGGAGAGGAATTATTTTCCACCTTCAAACCTCTCTCTCAAAGGTGGGATGTAACAAGTCTCTCACTGCTCTATAACTACTACTATGGAAAGTGCTTGGACAAACTACATTCCTTGATTCCACCAGGACCTGTCACAGCTAGGACCCGTCACAGCTAGGACCCACCATGCCATTTAAAAAGTAATAAACCACCTTTGTTCCCTCTGCATTCCTTTGCTGGGAAGTAAATTTTATTCAAACAGCTTCTTCCTGTGGAACAGACTCCCAAGAGGATGTTTACCCAATCACTAACAATCATAACCTGTTCAGGTCTAGAGTTAACTGTTATCTTCTCCTATCCATATAAACTACCCCTTAATGTAACCGTCTACCTCAAGTAGATTTGGGCCTTGTACAGGGTGAACATTACTGTAAAAAAATACAAAAAAAAAAAATTTTTTAAAATGAGTATCCTACTTAACAAGCATGGGTAAATAGATGGCAGAACAGGGTTGGTTGATTTTGTTTAGTGGCATATCAACCTCTATGGGTCATTTAATGCAAAAATCTAAATATTTTGAACACAATTTTATGACTTCAAATAAATATATTTTGAGTGTAATTAACTACAGATATATATGTATTGTTAGTCATTTTGCTATAAAATGTATTATTGATAATTTTTACTATAAATAGGTATTGTTGGTATTTTTTTTTATATAAAAATGTATTGGTCATATTTTTATACTTTCATAATGTTTTGTTTATGTTTGGGGGCTCACTATTTGACCATAGCTGGGACCCTAACAGGTGCTACCTTTCAGGACCTAGGAACAATAGCAATTAAGTGCTGGCTTGCTGCTGGATGTAGTTTATTGTCATACCCAGGACTAGGCAGAACAGGGAGTAGGAGGGATAGTAAAAAGACAAATATTGTCAAGAGCTACAAAGTATAGGAAGTTATAACGAGCCATGATTGCCTATGTTCTGAAGGTATATACAAGAAGAAGTCATTTGATGACCTTTTCAAAAGGAAGTTAAGCTCACCATGACTACTGCTATTGAATGAATCAACCAGATAATAATATGACGATGTGAATCAGTCAAAATGACTTTCAAACAATGTCTTTTAACTCTAATTAGAACTTAAAAAAAAAAAAAAAAACTTGTCTGAAATTCAGTTCTTATTTCTTAATTTTGTTTTTATAATCATCAAAAGAAAATCTCTTTACCTGAATTACTCATCTTGTCAATGACATCCCAGGAGGCACGGATATTTTTAGCACACTGAACTGAGGCTTTTTTGAAAGTGTCTGTGATGACTTTATATGGACCATTGCAAAGGGAAAGCCCAGTGAATTGCCAAATAGGAGCAGAGGCAGAAATTGATCTAGAAAAGATTTAGAATAAAAATTAATGACGGTAAGAAACAAATTAACATTGAATACAAGTTCAGCACTTAGACCACAGCAATTATAAATCCAAAAAAATTAGGGAAGAATTGATTTAAAAATTTTGAGAAATAGAAAAGTTACCCATACAATCATAATTTGCTTAATAACATAATGATTTTTATATAATATCAACCACACCAGATTGCTAGTCCCAGGGTATGACAATAAACTACATCCAGCAGCAAGGTCTCTGATCAGGAGATTGGAGGTTTTAATTGCTGCTGTTCCCAGGTCCACACTAACTGGGTGGTAGCACCTGTTAGGGTCCCAGCTATGGGAAAATAGTGACACTCCCCAACAAAAACACTAGAAAGTATAAAAATACATTTTTATAGTAAAAATACTAGCAATACATATTTATAGTAAAATTACCAACAATATGTACATACTAACAAATTGTAGTGACTTCACCCAAATCTGCTTAAAGTAATACCAAACAACCAACATAAAAGAACTTTCATGATATTAAGTCATATAATATCCTACAATTTCTTAAATCAAAATGCATTCCAAAATATAACTTCAACAAAACCAGAACATAACACCTCTAGTAATTGTGTCCACACAAACATGTACCATATATACTTGCATATCATGTGAGACCTAAATTTGAAGCTAATTTTAAGGGGGTTGCATCATACACAAGATATAAAATTAGTGTATGTACTGCTGGCCCTGGCTACACCATTGACCAAACTATATATCCATTTGCTGTAGTCAAATTAGCTTCAAAATTAGGTCTTCAAAACTTGTATGATACATGAGTATATACGGTAAAGGCACAAAATTTGAGTATCATCTGCCATGTATTCAATTGTGAAAGCGGAATAACAATTTTATTACTTCCAAGCTGCCAAGAAAATTAAATTTTGGTATTAAATAACTCATAAGGAGTAAATATATTAAACAAACAAATCAATAAAAACTCCAGACTTTTCATTGCTTTCTGTTGTCAGCATCATCTACAAATTGTCTGGTATCACTGTCTGATTCACTCTACCGGAATAAGAAACCCCAGGACCATTAAATTTCTCCAGAAATATCACATTAACTTCTCCCTTTGTTTTTTTTTTTTTTATCATGTGATATATTTCTTCAGGATGTGGGCAATCATGGCTCTCCACAAATTCTGATCCTTTGTAGCTCTTAATAAAGTTTATCTTTTTTCTATCCCTCCTACTATTCTGACATCCATTTACACATGCTCATTAAGGTTATTTGCTGTTTTCCTCTGTCCCTATTGCCTTGAATATGTCCTTTTTATGTCAAATTCTCCAAGCCCTCTTTCCTTATTAATGAATCTTAGACATTTCAACTGTATTCCTTATGTTAAGTATGTATCCTTCTTGTTTCCATTTTCTCTCGAGACTTCATTACTGCTCATATGTTCAGTTCATAGTATTCTCAGCATCCTTCTGTAGAACCATATTTCTGTTGCTTCAAGTCTCTTCATCTGTGAGGAGACTATCCAGCATCCACTGCCATATAGGAGGACCAATATTACATAATATTACAGTACTGTATTCCTATTTCTTAATACTTTACTTAACTTTTGGAAAGCATCTTTCACCATTCCAATGCACCTCCAGATTTCAGCATCAAATTTTCCAACTAGATATCTAAATTTTCATACTTGCTTGATTTTGATGTTTCCAATTTGTAGTTTGCATCTTGGGCTGTTCCTTTAGCTGACAAATATACATTCTATCTTAAAATTGATATTTAATTCTTTCTTCTAGCATTCATTTACTACCTTCTGTTGGAGTTTCTTGTTTCCTTTGCTATCAAAACTGTCATTGGCATATCTTATGTTGTTAAGATTGTGACCCTCAGTAATAAATCCTTATAGGACCTCTAATTCTGACTGTAAAGACTGAATAAGTTCAGTGAGAAGACATATCCTTACAGCCCTTTCTATTTTTATATATTTACTGAATTAATTTTCTATCTGCATGCAGGTGGTTTGCTCCAAGTTCTGAATTATACTAATATCTTTTGTAAACAAATAAAGCTTACCTAGCAGTTCAAATAGATCTTTGTGTCATACTTAAGCAAATGCTTTTTCATAATCTATAAAACATAGGTATACATCCTTCTGCATTTGTATTGCTCTTTCTGATATCATTGAGGATAAATATTGTATTCCTTGTTCAAGTGTCTTTAATAAAACAGTACTGTTCTTGCCTTATTTCCCAGTTTAATTCTGCAATGTACTCAGTTCATCAGAATTCAGGTAACTTTTGTTGTGTGTCTCATTATGCTGAATGCCCAATTAAGCTCACATTCATTTGCATCTGGCTTCTTAGGCAGCTATGAAAATGGATGTACTAAGATCTTCCAGTATATCACAATTGTTGTATATTTCATGTATTATTTATTATTGTAACAGTAGTTCAAAAAGACTGATTTAAAAATATTTGGTAAAAAGGAAATGCAAAAATAAAATTTTTGAATAAATAAAAGTCATATCAAAGTGGTTAGTTGATCTTTTAACATAAGTAACTAGGTTTCTATATTTGATCTTTGTCTTTTATAGCTTCTCAGAGAACAAGTAGAGTCAGTACCAGTGCAAGTGTCTTGTGCACTCCCCTCCTATGATACGGAGACCTCCCCCACTCTACTACATTTCAATTTTCCTAAGGAAGTATTCATATAAAATACAATATTGTAGCCTAATTATGCACGATAAAGGATCATATGCAATATAGGTGAACAATTCAACTAGAAAAATTGAAAATAAATATAATGTATCTAAATACAAATTAGACATATGTCATAATAGATCATTCCATCTTCAATACAACAACAATGTTTTGTGACAATTTTTAATATCAAATTTTTCTTGCTAAAAAGTTGAATGATTTTAATACATTCAATAACAAGGAAAAAAAAATAAGAAATTTCATAAAGTATTTTTTTCAAGAATTAGCATGAGCATATGGAATTCATGGATTTGGACAAAAAAACAAAACAAAAAAAAACCCAGAATAACATCAAAATTTGTGAAAAGCTTTTTCATCCTTTAATAGTGTTATACCATAATACCTATTCTATTGTAATAGACTCTCCCACAGATAATAAGTAGTAGTAGCAGTGGCCAGTTGGGCTCAGTGGTGTTGAGCGAGTCAGTCGATGTCGGACATTGAAGTATGATCCATCACAACTAGATTTGCTGCGTCATTAACTCTTATTTCAAGTTCCTGACATTTTGTACGTCGAACCTAATTTAGGATGACTTATTGAAATACAAGCCTCCACTGTGAAAACTACTCTACAACAAATAGTTGTGCTTAATTAATTTGTAATGTATACAAAAACATGGGTTAAAAACCCCAAAAAAACAAACATTGAGAATATGGCAAGGGTTACAAAGTACTGCCTGGGGCCCCCAATTAGGCTTGTGTGGTTTGCATTTAGCAGAATTATTTGTTATTCAGCTCGTCCTACTGTACCATTTGATAGGATCAGCTTACATGGTTTGTAGGTTCAATAATCTGAAGTTTAAAGCAGGAATACACAAAGATACTCAGAAGCTGAAGAGTCACAGCATGTTTATGCTAAGAAATTAAAAGATATGTAAGGATGCAAAGGACAATTACTTCCCCATCTTTTACAGCATGAGAGTATTAAATTTTATTATAGTATTTTTTTTTAATTAATTCACCCCAAGTAAGGCAATAATACCACTAAGATGCAAGATAATACTAGGAGTGAAAGAAAATGAGAAAACTTGAAGGAACTGGAAAGTCAATGCTAAACAGTAAAAGGGATAATAAACCTCTGCTTCTGTTCAAAAGACTCGGATGGAGTGTGAATTGGATGATAGGTGAACCTATCTACTATTAATTTAATAGTAATAATAATCTGTACTGTTAATGTGACTTGCTTGCCTGAAGCAAAATAAATACAATGCAGTTTGTGTTTTTTTTGCAATCTAGTAGCCATTTGCAATGTGAAAAGAGTGCATAACTGAGTGGAATTCATATAATGCTATTGCCTGATTAATTCGGTAGGTATTTAAGGGCTTTCATGAAGTGGCAGTCACTAGGCTGCCTGCAATTATTAGGAAAAAAAAATAGTGATTCTTTAGTAACCCTCATTTCAATTTCAAATATTTTCTTGAATTTCAGCTTCGAGAAATTTCCATAACAAAACAGTCAAAATGTGTGCAAAAGTAGGCTCAACTGACACAAAAAAATCTTTCTCAAATTCATCCCTAATTTAAATGTTTCAAGAAATCCTATTGGCTAAAAAATAAAAAAATACAACATTTGCCCACACATTTCTCAGAAAAATACGCAACAGCTACCAAGTACCATGGAGCCGATTTCGTTGTTAATAAAATTATAAATAGAAACAGTAAACAAATTTTCTTCGCATCTGAGACTCACACACAGGAATGATGTGACACCAAAGAAACAAACTTCCTTTATGATAGATTAGAAAAATTTACACAAAAAATTGCAAAAAACAGTAATTAAGGTGGTTTTATTAATGGAAACAAAATATGACATTATTGTATGATAAACTTTTTATAGTTAAGTGCTTATTTTGTGTCAAAATAAAAGCAAATATACTGTAGTTACTGAAATTTTATCTTTTACTTTAAAAAATACAAAAATATCTCATTTTAAGGTGTTTTTTTTTTTTAAAGAAATGCCGGGTTGCTACAAAATTTTTGCCTGTAGTGCAGATTTCATAATTATTTAAATTTGGCTATCATCTTTTTTGAAATAGGTCCCTTGGTATGGTACATAGAGATCCCAGAACTGACATGCCTCAAAAGCACTGTAGAAGAAGTGTTTATTCTGAATGTTGTCAGATACTACCAGTAATTCTGTTTTAATTTCATCTGCAGTCTTCATGCAATGAACTTCAGTTTTAATTTAATTCTGGCAAGAGCAGGTGGATTGTTCATTGATCGTCCTCATGGATAAATCACGAATATTTTTCCACACATTCTACAATTTTGTTGGTGATGGGTCACCATATAGGAACTGATACATAACTAGCTTTGAAACATGTATGCCATTTAAAAACTGAAAGAATGTTTGCCAAAAGCCTGATAAAGCATTTCAGAGGTCTCTGTTGCAGATACATTGATGAAATCTTTTAGCCATTGTAAAGATCACAATAGTGTTACAAAATTTTGTACAATATCTGAATATGAACCAATAGTACAAGGACTATTGGCAGACTGACTCAATAGGATAGGTATAAATAAGCATTAATTGCAAATGCATTTCTGTTGAATGGCACAATCAGAGCATATAGTCTGGGAACTTTCTGAGACTATCTTGTACTGGTTAAACATCATAATAACTCACTTCAGAACTGATATCTGAAAGGTATGTTTATCTAAACTAACCTGCATATAAACATGCTGACTCTCAACTTATCTACAATAATGAAAGGAGTGATAGCTCTGAATTGTGTGCTCTCACATAAAATGAAGTATTTATTTATGCAATGTTGTTTCCTTGTGCCTTTTCTATAAATATTTCCATGGTAAATGTTTTGATGAGCTTTCCTCTTTTGTACTTAAGACTTTATGAATTTAAGCACAGTACAAGATTGGCACCAAGGTATCACCATTTTACACTTGAAATTGTTACATGTAATCATAAGTTCTATGGGAAGTTTCTTTTATTTGTTGAAATTTCTCCTGGATTCTTGCTTTCCAGTTAACTTTGATCTTAAAAAATTTAAATGCAATGTTAATTGTTAACTTTTGTCTTTTTAATTTCTGTTCTATCATTATTGTTATCTCTTCTTAATAATGCTTACTGTTTCTAATATTCTCTCACATTCAGTAACCCCTTGCATTTTAGTGGCTTTATTGCCTTGCTTGGAATGAAATCATTAAAAAAAAATTATATGCAGCAAACATATAAAAAATTACATAGATTTAAACTTTTCTTACCCATCCACAACACCAGCATATTTCATGCGGAACCAAGCAGAAAGCATTCCACCATAAGAGCCACCAAAAGCTACCACTGAACTATTTCGGGCACCACTGACAGTAGATTTGATATGACCAATCAGTTTAGCATAGTCTGCTAAAGCCTGCTCTGAGGTCAAAAAGGAGAGCTTCAGAGGATCCTAGAAGTTTAAAATAAATAAAAAGACTGGTGAACAGAACATTTATGAGAAACTCAGAAAAATGATCCCTTACTCTCTCTCACATACACACACACATCTATCTATATATATGTATGTATATATAAATATAGATAACTACACTAGTCTCGGAAAAAACCTTTGGTTTCTTGATTTGCTAATGATCAAATCAATTTCGAAGAAAAAAAAGTTTTTAAAAAGAAAGAGCTATGAACATAAACGTCTGTCAAGATAATCGTACAGCATACAGGTCCAATGCCCAAAGAAAAAAAAAAACCCGATCACGAGTAATCAACTAACTTAAAGTGCTCAATACAAAAGTAGAGCAGACCTAGTCAAACCTAGAGAGCTAGACAAACCTACCAAGGTTTCACCTAAGTGGATCCTCAAGGAAAGCTGGCTATATATATGTATTCTTCTTTGGATCTTATCATGGACCTCTAGGTAAATAGCAGGGTCACCAGACCATAAAATGGCAGCAATATTTTAAGCATAGACAAATGGTAGACTTATAGATAATGACGGGACATTAAGTGAATCAATTAACATTAACAAAAGGTTGTTGCTCTGATCCAGCAATCTGCATGCATTGATGAGAGAGTTTTGTCCAATTCATTCTCTGATCAAACCAGTTTTGTTGATGATTCTTGTTAGAGTTGATGAATATTTCACTAAGTATCAACAATCTCTGGTTATTGCATTTGATTAAATGCCAATATTTCAAGGAGGTAACAATAACCAGATATTCCCTAAAGTAATTTGTATTCCAGTGAAAGTGACATTTTTTTTTAGAATGAATTGTCAAATTGGCTTTTGAAATGTCAAAAGAGATCTTAAAGATCATAATAAACATGTTAATATCATTTTTATCTGAATTTCTGGAATTAAATTTATTCTTATGTGAATTATTGTCCATATTTTTCTTGCTATCATAATCATCACAACGTTACAGTCATTGTACCTTTCACCCTTCATGCTTGTCAATCTGGGAAACCTTCAGAGAATTTCAAACTGAACCCGTTATTTAATTTATGGTGTAAATTATTCTTTTTTCTGTTGTCAGTGTCTTGTCTAGTTCTTAGTTAGCACTTCTCAGTTATTGCTCACCCTGTTTTCACTGAGTCCAAGTACATACTGCCTGACCCAAGGAGTGAACTCACAATTACCATGTTATCAGATTCACAAATCACTAGGCTATTGTCCCGAGTAGAGAACTAAGCCTTAAACCTAACTTAGTCAAGTTAGCTTGTCACACTTGACTACAGTCACTGAAGCTTCTCTTTTTATTATGGCTGCTGAAGATTACCTGTATCAACAAGCACTTGATGAGGCTTTGAGGGTACAGTAACTGAAACGTGATAACAACAAAGATGAGGATAACAGTCTGCATGTAAATACTGTAAAGAATGCTAGTATCAACATGTCAATTCTGTTTTGCTATAAACATATTCTTTGTGAACAACTACTTTGGATAAAACAACTTATTTCAAAACATTTACTTCTTGTAGCGAAAACTGACAACACCAACCAACAAAATAGCTTGCTTCTGCTCATATAAACAATGAAAAACACTTCATGTATCGACTGTAGTCAAGATCATGGAGTCCACAACACTAACCTAGACCTCCCGGTCATTCATTGCTGTCCCCAAGTGCTGCTTACCAATGCCTGCATACTTTGAGATGACGTCAGGGAATGATAGTTTTCTGTCCCTGGTCAGGTTTAACAACCTCATTCTCGGCATGGTAGCAGCGGTCAGCTAACTGTGCTTGATGAGCTCATGAGAGAGGAAACATGGGGAAGACTGCTGTAGATTTGGTGGATGGTGTTTCCAAGACACTTAAGTATAACATCCAAACTCTTAAAAACGAAAGTGTAAGAGTAGAATTCTATGATAAACTAGAGTCCGAGTCGATATACCTAAATCTTGACCAAAACAACATAAAAGAATCAACGTAATCATATCTTCATTAGCCGAAGCATGCGAGACCATTCCAAGAATACCTAGACAGAAAAACCTTAGTTGAAAAGAGTAATATAAGAAACAAGCAAACAGAATTGGAAAAAAAATGAAAGAGAAAAAAGTAGACAACAAAAAGAATTAAAAAAAAATAGTTAATGCTTTGAAAAACTAATATCTGTGGAAAATTGGAAACCAAATTAATGAAGCCAAGCAGCATAGACAATGTGCTGTTATGTGGAGAAAAGCAAAAAATTACAATAACATCATACAATTGAAACCAACACAGAAGAAATGTCCTGGTCTCAAAAAACATTTTGAGTCACAATTCAGCCCTGACCACTTGAAACTGAAGATGCCCACAGAAATAGAACATACACCAATATGCATACGATCATTGCAAAATCTGTCTCCAAATGTAGACAATAACAAACCTTGTAATTGACCAAACAATCAAAAAGCTTTCACAATCAGGACATAAGAAAAACAAATAATAACAAGGAAACCAAAATTTCAGCATTTCTAAAAATAGTTTGATCAACCAATCAACGCTTTCACACCCAGGATATAAAACTGTGAGCCAATGAGGAGCAAGCAACCTTTTCAAAGTGTATCTATAGATGTGTATACAAACAGATGGAAAATCAACCAAAATCAGAGTTGATAAATTATTTTGTCCATTCTCTGATGCTGTGATCATCATAACATAGATACAAAATACAATTTTTGCATGACTAGTTGGCGATCTTAGACTGCTAATCCATTCTTGCTACATTGAAAACAAATATACTTTCCTTTACCACATGGTCAAAGGGTGACTGCTACATTGAGATACATACATATATATATTTTCTTCCTACCAGATTCTTTCTCTGGTATGTGCTAGGACGTTTACATTTGAAATTCTTGAAACTTCAACTTTAACCTTATTCTTCTGTATTAATTTGATATATTTTGTATTTTTCAACACTTGCATTTTCTTCAATTGTTACACAAGGCCAATATACACTGAAGTCAATTATACTGATATATAGTGGGAACAGATATTTGTTGTAAGATAAACAACTCATCCATAATTACCATATACATAAATGCATATATTCTGAAAGGTAACATTTCAATACAGTTTTGTGTGGATTATGAATTTTTATTTTTATGTTAAAAATAAAAATGGAAGAAAATGAGATGAATTTTTGTCATTTGATGCTATTTTTCTAGAAAGGGGAAAATGCCATGCAAACAGCAAAAAAAACCATTCACCATTTATGGAGATGATGCTATAGCTGAGAATACTGTTTGTAAGTGGTTTATCAGGTTTGAAAATATGAATGTTTATTTGGAAGACTGAGGATGTTCAAGTCAGCCTGTAGTTGTTGATGATGACTAAATTGAAATGCTGATTAAAAATAATCCAGGTCTCATGACATGGAGCATTGCAGAGATATTCCATGTCATATAAGCATTGTAAAGTATTTGAAAACACTTAGATATATGAATTGTTACAACATTTGGGAGCGTTTTGATTTAATGGGCAAATTTAATGGGCTGCATTTCAATCTGATTCTCTGCTCAACAGATTTCAAGGACTTTATCTTTCAGCCATAGAAGAAAAAAAAAAATCAATAAACGCTTGACTGTGTGTGTTCAGCTAGTCATATGGAAGGTGCCTATTGTGGCACATTGCAAAGAAGATTTTGCTATTTCAAGTATTAAGTGTAATGTAGGGATACAAACGGCAATTATCTCTCTTTTGTGGAGAAAAGCCATATGACAGCTGTTTAGTGACATCACTCTAGTGATGAAAGTGGCAGTCAAGTTTTCAGCCCAACCAAAAGTTTACTTTCTTTAGTTTGAAATCCTCCCCTACTCCCGGCCTGGCTAAATCTCCTTCCCCAGGAGCTTACAAATCCATAGTACTATTTCACTTTGGGAATATATATTTCCCAAGATTTAGAATGAAACTTCAGCTCAGTCCTCAATTTGGGAAAATCCAAGACTCATTGATTTCCATGGAATATGTCCTTGCCTGGGACAAAATGAATCTGGTCCATTTGAATCTGGAGTTCTAAATGTAGCTTCTCCAGATACAGGAGTATATTACAGATATAATAATGCCCTTAATGGGGGAAATACAAATGGGGTAATAAATCTTTCTTTCATATCTCTCCCACATTTTTGAGACAAAATACTGATACTATAGCGTTTGTAAAGAAAAACTTTAATAATCTATATAAATTAAGATTTGGTAAAACAATCAATTTAGATAGATTAAAATTAAAGCAGACATTATTAGAATATATTCTATTAATCTGTTTCAGACAAAATAAAAACCTGATTATACAATATCCCTTCTGAGTGGTTATCAACTTAAATTTTAATTAACTTATAATTTACAGAGAAATATAAAAATTACACAGCATTTAAAGCAAATATCAAATTATTAATCTGCAAAGCTTTAGCTTTTAAGTACAAATGATTAATAAGTTATTAGAAATTATATACTCTTTAACACATATTCAAACAGCCAAGCATTTTTCTGTTAAATATTTGCATATATTTTTGCATTTAATATAAGGTCTACATATCATGTATTATTAAGACAAAGTATTGAGTAGCCAGTCAGAGTAAAAGTCTAAGTTGAAGTAGTAAGAGGAGTCATTAAGAAATCTTCCTCTGTCTAGTCTATTTCTAAGTCTCTGTCTGAACCCTGGGATTTTATTTGCTATTTAAATCTTGGCCTCTTTAAGTCTAGAATTAGCTATCTTTCTTGCTATCTTGCTCTTTCCTTCACTAATACAGCTCATACACAGGATTACTGTGTGGAGCTGTATTAGTGAAGGAAGTGTATTAGTGATTTGTACCTTGAATGGCCCTTGGCCTTGTATTGGGGGTGAACATTAGTATAAAAAAAATAATTCACGGTTTTTCTATTTGAATTTTCTGATGAATCTTAATTATTCAGTTAATGATTGAATAAGGTCATGGTGAGTTCTCTGATGATAAAATATCTGTAGAAATTCACCTATTGTCTCATTAAATAAGCTTGAGCTTAACAACTTTAACAAAATATTACAATAACAATCATAAATATGAATATTAATCGTTATTTTAAGAAGTGGGTACAAATGAAAACATTTCAAATTGACAACTTTTCCATTTCACTGAAACAGCTTCTTTCTTTCACTTTCTGATTGATACCAAGTAGCATCTTTGAAGTCTTTTGTCCATTATTTATGAGATATTAGCAGGAGATGTTAAACAATTCTTTCTTTTTTTCCATGTAGTGTCTGCGATATGTCTTGTTTTTCCAAACAATCAAAATGGAATAGCTGATTATTTATGAGTTATTGGCAGGGCGTAACAGTTGTGCAAACTAATGAAGAGAGGAACAAGCACACTTATATGATATTTAACTTGTTTATAAACTTCTTCTTTGGTACAATGATTCAAATATCTTTTTATTTCAGTTTTGTAAAATTCTGATCAGAATTTATTACTAACTCAGATGCTTATTAATGAGTTTGAATTTTCTGTTGACTGAATTTTTTATTGCCTTTCAATATTGTGAGTCAATAATTATACATCATTGGAATCTGAATCCTTTTATCTAAAAAAAAAAAAAAGAAGTTATTTTTCAGATGTCCAACAATCAGAATACTTGTTCTTAAAGAAAGAATCTCTGATTAAAAATTCCATCTTGGATAATTATTGATTGCCACATTCCATTGTTTTATCATGTCATTTTAGATTTTTTTTTTTTTTTTTTTTACACATATAGTAAGTTTCTTGATTTGAATTTATTTTCATTTGTCTTAATTTTTATTGAAGATATTGACTACTTCATAAAACTGTTTTTGTTTTCTGTGTTTTAACAGTTTTATAGTATATTTTATTGTAATTTTCCCATAAAATACAATAAAAATGAGGGTAAAAATGGAATTTGCTAAAAGAGAAAACAGATTTAAGGAAAATTTGAAATGGAAAACTGGTGCCTCTATACATTTATTTGCAAATGTAAATTCAATTCAAAAATAGAATTTTTCATTTTATTTGCTTTTATAAATGAAATCCTGGGCTACATTGTGTTATGTCTACTTGTAAATGATTAAAAACGAAAAAGACAAACCTTGTAGGACTGACTTCCAAATGGTAGAGATTTTCCATAATATCGATGCTCAGCAAACACCATCATCGCTTGAAATTTGGCAGCCATTTTGAACATAAAACCCTGAAAGATAAAAATCCTAATTCATTAAACATTAAAGGAATCAAAAATATATAAGTGTGTGTGTGTGTGTTTGTATGTGTCTAGAACACATCATAAAAAAGAAAAATAATAACGATACACATTTTTACAAATTCAAAGAAATTTTTGACATTTCTCAAAAATATTTCACTGCAAATACAGTTACTTACTAAACTTTGTTTAGCTTATTAACTGCAGATAACAGGAATTTCTGTCATTACAGTTCCACAGCTCAGTGACAGAAATTTCTTCCACCACTATCAGGTTAATCTGACATATAGGTTTCAGCTTGCATTGATATTACCAGTTGCTCTTAATGGTAATAGTAATGTTACTATTAGCTGTTTCCTTATAAGGAAACATTTGGCATTTATTGACTGAGCAGACAGGAAAATTAGTTTTTTAACTTCAATAACTGTTATCACTATTTCCAGTATTGAGGGGAGATTTCCTGCCTAGCCTTTTATTTGAAGTATTGTAGAATGTCAACATCATTTAAAACATTTCCTCTGCTAAAATACTTTCCAGATATTTACATTTTGTACTGGTTTGATTTTGGTATCTCCAATTTGTAATTTGTATGCTAGGCTGTTCCTCTTCCTAACAAGCATATATTCTCTCTTGCAATTAATGTTCAATCCTTTTTTCTTGCTTTCCTTCATTAATTTCTGTAGGAGTTCTTCTAGTTTCCTTTCTATATCTGCTACCAACACTGTGTCATCTGAATAGCTTATGTTATGGCCACCAATAATGATTCCAACTAAGAACTCTAATTCATTTAAAATGATCTCACTGTATAGGTTGAATAAGTCTGGTGAGAAGAGACATCCTTGTCTTACACCTCTTTATATTTTTGTATATTTATTGAACTCATTTTTTATCTGTATGCAGGTGGTTTTGCTGCCAGTATAGGGTTTGGATTATTCTAATATCCTTCCCAAATATGTCAATGTTACCTAGTATTTCCAACAGTTTTATGTGATGTACTCACTCATATAATTTTGCATAATCTATAAAACACAGGTAAACATCTGTCAGCATTTGTATTGCTTTCTCTGATATGATTCTGAGTATAAACATATTTTTTGTTCCAGTGTCTATAACAAACCCAAACTGTTTTCGTCTTATTTCCAGTCTGATTCTGCAGTATACACTATTTATCAGAATTTGCATCATATGTTTTATTATATGGCTCATTAAGCTGATGTTCAATGGAGTACATATCCATTTGCACCTGGCTTCTTAGGCAGTGCTATGAAAATAGATCTACTTAGGGTTTTCTGGTATATCACCACTGTTGTATATTTCATTTATAATGTTTGTAGTCTTGTCAATGCTGAAATCATTTAAGGTTGCCAGCATCTCTATTACAATTAGTCTGTTTAATTTTGTCAGCACTGATCCCACTTTAGATTTTGATATTTCTGGTCCTTTGATATTTTTGTGTATTGCTGGTTGTCCTCTTTCGTTGTGGAAGAGTTCTCTGATGTATTCATTCCATCTCTGGAGTATTTTTTCTTTCTCTAATATCAATGTCCTATCATTGGATTTTATGCATCCTATGGATGAGCATGTCTTGTCCTGTTAGTTCTCTTATTTTTTTTTATGTCTATCTCCTTTATCTGTGATACTCATTCTTTCTATTTCTGCACATTTTTCATTGAGCCATTCCTCTTTATCTTGCCTGCATTTTTTCCTAATTTCTTTGTGCAGAGTCCTATATTCTGTGCTATACCTAGGCATTGTTTTTGTCTCTTTTTCATCATGTCAAGAATTTTATCTGTTATTCAGTTTTTTTCTTTGGGATGATCTTGATTGCTGAAGCTAGAAAAGCTTCATTTAATGTGTCCCGCTTTGAGTTTTTATTATCATTTTGTCTATTGTATCTTCTTTTAACACTGTCCATATATTTTCTCCCTCACATCTGGATCATTCAGGAATCTGTTGTATTATAATTTGGGTGCTGCCTTCTTTCTCTTCAATTTCCATAGTTTCATTTTAAGTTTACATATCATTGGAAAGTGGTTGCTCCCACAGTTGGCACTTGGGTATGTTCTGCAGTGTAAAACTGTATTCCTGAATCTCTTATTGATAGTTATATATAGGGTTTAGTTTTCATTTCACTTCCAATGATACTCTATCTCCATATATATATATATATATATATCTTGGGTGTTCTTTAAAGAAAGTGATGCCAACTATCTGATCATTCACTATTGAATCCATTTTTCTCTGCACTCATTGAAAGTTCCTAATCTGAATTTGACAACTATTTCCCAATCTCCATTCTTGCCTACTTTGGCATTCAGGTCTTCCATGACGATTGTTATTTCTTGCAATTGGCATTGAAACTTGGTGCTGTCGAATTTACTGTAAAATGTTTCCCTTCTTTTTCTGTGCTATTGGTGCATATAAAACTATGGTGTGTATGCTGAAGGACTTCCCTTTTAGTTTAACAAGAATTCTTTCAGATAGTTAACAGCAACCCAGAACACATATCTTAGCCTACTATAAATCCTACTCCTCATTCATTTTCTCTCCACCTGCATATATGACTGTGTTTGTCACAGGTGATATCTTCATTGTTTGTCCACGTTGTTTCACATACAGCTAAATAACAATTAGCCTGTTCAATTGCTGCTTTATATTCCCTGTCTATATTGATTTAGTGTTACAATATTCTATGTCCTGAGAATTACTTTTTGTTTGATGCAAACAGTCATTGAATTATGGTCAGGTAACACCTGTTGCACATGTTCCTTCTTACTGGATGAGGAGTTAATTGCAGTAGACTTAACCCCCTTCATACTAATATCTTTTATAATTTGATTGTTAAGAGACAAATTTTCTTGAGATTAATATTGGTCTCTTGATGCCTTCTCCATGGTGATTTATTGAGACATTGCCTCTAGTTAGCTGACCATTGACTTGTCAAGAGTTCTTCCACCCTTTAATAGGTCATATTTTTCAGGGTTGCTATCAATCTGCCGCACTTGCAAGAAATTGAAGTGGGGGTGCTAGTTTAGTTGCCACCAACCTGACATAGTATGACAGATAGAAGAAGGCTAGAGAGTACTATATAACAACCAAGATGTGGATACTAGCTTGAGTATAATTATCCAAAGAAGAACCTGTAGCGTTATTGGTCATGACCTGGCATCTTGGCTTCAGTCAATTTCTCACCTTTTGTTATATAAATATTTTATTCATTTTTGTGCAAAAACTCTTGTTTGAATATTATTATTCTTTTGTTGTTCAATTATTTTGTTGCATTTGCAATAATATAAATGTGTAGGGAATTATTGATGTTCACGGATAAGCACACAAGACCTTCCCCCCCTTTTACAAAGTTTATCTAATCTTTTTCTACAGTAGATATATCTGTCAAAAATATAATTGAGGACTATAATGTGAGCACTTTCTTTTATATATACTTTTTAAGTACTCAGTAATTTTTTAAAATTTATAAAAAATATTCACCGTAATCAAATATTTTATTTAATTTTAGATACTTTGGCTTTAAATTTACTATAGTTATCACTTATTTTCTGATATTTGTAATGTATGAACTACTGTATCTGCATTTTCACTCAGGTCAAAAATAGTGTTGGTATCTCTGGAGATAGTAGACATGTAATTTATTTTTTTAGCCAATCAGAATGTGTTGTTGTAAGATGTAGTTTTGAGCCTGATTTTGGGGTTTTTAAAACTATAGGATCTTGATCATTTATAACTTCCATGTGTCATTCAAGCTGTCAACCGCCATGTTAAAAAGATGCATTTCTGCAATATTTTAAACTTACTGAAAGTTTAATTAAAATTTGACAATTTGATTTTTTGGAAGAATTTCCAAATCAATGTTTTTCACCACAAAAAAGACACTAAAATTTCCTATACAAATTTTTGATCTCCACGCTAAAAAGAAAATTTTGAACCAAAATTTTGAATGTTCTAAAAAGGATTAAAAGAATACAATTAAATAGTCAAAAACTCCTTTGGTCTTGCTTCTTAATATAGATTTTGATGATTTTTTTTTTTTTTTTGTTTGGGGCCTTTTTTCATCATAGTATGCAAATTTTTTTAGAGAATCAATGGCGGTACCAAATTTATATGGTTTCTATTTTTTTTTTTTGTTCTCTTTACCTTAATTATCATTAATTTTAATTTTATACTTGCTGTCATTCATGTGTGTGGATGCAAATCTGCCCAATGTTATTTAAATTTGTCTTTTGATATGTTTTTCTATAATTGGCAAATCCACACTTTCCACCCACTGTTTTAACCCTACCCTGCTCACACATGGCCATAGCTGATTGATAATTCCACTATGTACCTCCCTCTGAAATTTTTATTATTTTTTTTTTTACCTCAGTAGTAGATCAGTTTGCCTATCACCCAGTTCATTCTCCTCCCTAGTCTTTTTGAACAGGTGTAGAGGTGCATCCCTTGTTTTTTTTGTTTAAGATTGGTTTTCAATTTTTTTTCTGAAATCTTTTCATTCACTTTCACTCCCAGTAGCACTTTGTGTCATTATCACCTTGCTTAAGGTGACTTGAAAAAATGTAGATGCAACTGCAAGTTTTATGCTGTTGAAGCACTACTTCTAGTTAGGCTAAAATCAGTGGCAACAATATTTTGCACATTTAAAATGTCTGGTGTAAGGAAATGGAAAACAATTTCAACAAGTGATATTGTTTTATTTTTGTTTTTATGTAACTGAGTAAAAGGAGAGAAAATACTAGAATGTATGCAAAAGAAAGATTTTGAAAGGAATTGTGTGTGATGAGCATTCACTAAGGGGGAAATATACCACCATAGCTGGAAACAAAGTCCTGGTGATATTGTTACTAAAACACATTGGGTGGAAAAGTGAGATAAGAGAGAGAAAAATAGTAAGTGTTCCATTTTTATAGCTGCTTGACAGTGTCCCCTGATGACTTCTCAGCAAAAGTGGCAAAGCTATGTGAGGGTAAACAGATTCATGCAGAAGTGGGGCCAGAGGGTGTGATGGCCCTGAGCATCCAATCAAAGAGTGAAATAAAATGTAGTTTATATTTAATTTGAATAAAGTGTTTATTTCATGTTTCATCTGTTTTTACATATTTAAAATGTCTCCCTTTTTCACATTTCTCAGTACTAATCCCCGCCTGACTTGAGTCTTAGAGACATACAATCAAAGAGATGGCCCCAGGCATTAGCAAACCTTTGCATGTCACAGCTTGCAGTTCTTGCTTGCAGAACTCTTTTTAGCCTCTTGCTTTCCAATCAATTTATCTTTTATATTCCTTCACACTCAGTAAAATTTTGTGTCGTATTGGTTTTTTATTGCCTTGCTTGGGGTGAAAAAAATTATGAAATTCCATCATAAAAAAAAAAAAAAAAAACTAAACCAGAAATTCACAATGTTTACTTGGGCCTGCCACAGGTGCCAGTTGTTAATATTTAAGGCTGAAATAAATCCTGAATTTTCAAAGCATGCAAACAGGCTTTCTCCAATATTATAATAATTATCCTTTCTCGTATTAGGTGAAACTAATCCATAAGATATGAGAAGTATTTTTCCCGCCATTATCATACTTATCAATAATCAATACTAAGTTAATTGCATTAGTAGTGCAAAAAAAAAAAAAAAAAAAAAAAAGAAGAAAAACCTGCCTACATTCACAACTATTGACTAACCTTTTAACGGAAAAAAAAAAAAAAAAAAATGCAGCAGCTTTCATAGTCTTCATCCAGTCACTACATAGCCTCTCTCAAATTAAAACTTCAGTGGTTACACATAGTATCTGGGTACTTTATAAGATCCAGATTGCAGTTAGATCTTTTTCTGATTCATTCTGCATGCTGGACGGATGTGAACGCTATGAAGGCAGAGAACGAAATAACAAAAATCATTTTCTGCATATAAGGCTTCATGCATCATGCATCATGTCTGGTTTATGAAGTAGCCAATTGCAATCATTCCTCTTGAAAAGAGAAGTCCCTGGGGGACTACCAAAGGGAGCTGTGGCCTGATTTGTCACTTCTCCCAACACTTGCAAACTCCTTGGTAACCCACTGCAGTCACCTCAGCATAACCAACATATACAAGGCATTGCCTTGCAGCCATCACTGCTGCCCCTGTTCCACAGAACAGGTCTACTGACTGTGCTAGCAGTGACTGACTCCATGATCAAGCTACCACCACAAGCAGTGACTCAGACTGTAAACATGCAACTCACTGCCATCACTTCGGTCTACTCTACTCGTTTACAAGGCATCCCCTTTGCAGTCACTACTGTGGCCCTGTTCAAGAGAATAGGCCTACCAAACCTGCCAATCCGACATCACCCAGTTCCATAGAACAGACCTACCAACCAACAAAAATGGCCTACTGCCATGACTTCAATCAATCAACATGCACCAACAATACCCTGTGATCTCACATGAAAACCACACAGGAATTAGGTCAACTCCTGGTGCTACCCTTATACCTGACTGCCATTCTGATTACCAGCCACTGAAACAGACATTCCACACATCTTTCAGCATCTCTGTACAACATACCAACAATTAACGTTCAAAATCTATTCCTTGTTATTCCTTTTTCTCACTACCAAACTCTTAAAGACTAAACCTGTAGAGCATCTTAGAACCCTTATAGGACCCAGAGGTGCAATTTATTGACCCAATAAACATGCAGTTACATTTTTACAGGTTTTTTTTTTTCTTTTTTTTTTTGTCGTACAAAGATTATAAGCATAAGTGTTAGATTAGTCCAAAAATAAAGCCTATTTTAAGCATTAAGTGAAGCTTATATTTTTGCAAAGTAACTTTTAAAGTAAAAGTTCACCTTTCTCAAATTTTAAACACTAGAATGTTTTGCAACATACTGACACCTGTTGAAATCCTCACAGTATTTAATATTGTTAAGGTTATTGCTTCTTCTGCCCATTTGAAACTCTTCCTACTGTGATTATATTTACAGTGCCACTACTGTGTATTATGTTTTACCAGAATATATAAAAATTTACTTTAAAAGTTGTTGCTTTTTCATTATCTCTAAAATTTCTTATGTCATCGGTTTATTCCTTTCTTGTCTAGTTTTCTTTGGGATGATCTCTTTCACCAGCATCACTAGTGTTTCTGTCAGCATGTTTCACTTTGATTTTTTAGTCTCATTCAGGTTATTTTTGTTTATAATTGTTTTTGTATGACTTCTTGCAACTTGGGTCCTTCAGGAGTCTGTCGTATTGCAGTTTGGGTGTGGCTTTGGTCTTCTGTAATTTTACTCTTATGTAGCGCACTACTGAAAGATTGTTGCCCCCACAGTCAGCACTTAGGTATGTTTTGCAGTGTAGAACTGCATTCCTGATCTTTTGTTGGTAGTTACATCATCTAGTGCTTTGTGTTTCCTCCTTGGTTTCTCCATGTTCATGGGTGTTTTTGGTGTTCCTGTAACCAGGTATTGGGGATTACTTGAGCATTTGCTTTTGCCATGCTCATTTACTTTTCTCATTCTTGTTTTTCTACCTTGGCATTCAGGTCTCTCATGGTCATTTCTTGGGGCCTTAGAATTTTTCAGAGAGTTGTAAAAGTTGTCGATCTCCTCTGTGAAAAAGAGATTAAATTCTTTTTTTTCTTTTTTTTTTTTTTTAAAAATCAGTGGTTACACTAGATCAGCCACCTGTTGCCATTTCTATGAAATTATTTTCTATTGTTTTTTTAATTTTTTATTGGCAGTCTGCTGTTGAACCTTTTGTACATCATAAGAGTCTTCTTTATTTTTTTTTGTAAAGAAACACTTAAATTTCATTTGGGATGTTATAAGATTTTTTTTTTTTTAGAGACTTTATATTTATTTGATTTGTTCATATTTCTATCTACTGATAGATTAAACTTATTTGGAACAATGAAAAATAAGTTCAACATTTTTAAAAATATACTATTACAAGACAGACATTGATTTAAAGTTTAAAACCTGTGTTGGTTTCCCCACTTAACCTTACTAGAAAAAAAAATCCAAAAAAAACCTCTTTTCTATTTTTCTCTTAGACAATAAGATGTAGTTGCATGTGGGAAAAACATGTTCCCCTTGAAGCATTTTCACTCCACTTTCAATTTACTTTTCTTTCGAATATCTACACAATCTTCATACAGACTTTTCTTTCATATTCATTGTTTTTTGTCATCTGCAACACCTGTCACCACTTTGAAGATTTTTTCCCAACTCATAATTCTTTTCAGTATGATAATTAGTGCCTATCAAAATTAATGGGATCATAATTAAAAATCTGTGTATATGTTGAACACTTGAACAGTGTGACTTTGGTTTTTTTTGTTTGTATGTTGTACACATAGCAAAAGAAACTGAAACTTGAAGACAATGATAGTACCGCATCCACAAAAGATGTGGTAAATAAAGAACTCCTATAGTAAATATATGTAAATGTTGTTTACACTATATTCAAACTACTGTCCTCATCTTTGTTGTGGTTATCACAACATTTGTGCCATCTGACTATCCTCAGGTGTATATCAATCTAGGTAAATTCTGGACTAAATCCTTTATTTAATCTATGAAGATAGACTGTTCTTGTTCCACTATTCATGTCTATACCCTCTAGGGATATCATCTAGCTCTTATTCTATTTAATACTGTTCAGTTATTGCTACACTGAGTGCAAGTACACACACTGCCCAAACCAGGGACTGAATTCAGAAGCACTATGCCACCTAATTCCCAAACCAATGTTTTTATGCACTAGGATAGTAAGACAATTTACTGTAATAAACTTAGAGCCTTAAACTTAACCTGGCTGCTGATTAGGTTGCAAATGCTGTTCTTGGTCATGTTTAAACTACTGCTGCTGCAGTAAGTTGAAGATTTGCAGTCATCTGTTTCTTTCTTTATTAGTGGCTCCCTGTATGTTACCCAGACTGATATATACCTGAGGAAGGCCTGAGGGTACAACAGTTAAAACACTGTGATAACTACAAAAATGAGGACAATAGTCCAAATATAAATAGTTTAAATAATGATCATTAGTCATCCTAGAAATTCACACAAAAATATGTAAATGTTTGTTTTTCTAAAACAAAACAAAAATAAAGTTGTGTAAAATCAAATATATACACGAGTATTTACATAAATATATCCACATCCATTTAATAATGAAAAGAAAAATTTTTGAATAAATCAATTGACAAATACCGTGTTTCTCAGAAACCAAACAACGTCTCCTTCATTGCCTGTATACATGAAGATGGGTCCACCATTTTTATTCCAATATTTAGTTGAAACAAGATATCGTTGCTTGAAAGTAGCTGTGTATGTTGCATCAAAATGGTCAACCTGTCATAGAAGGAAAAAATTTAAAAAAATTGTTAATTATTAAATGGTTCAATTATTTTAAATTGACTCCTGGAGATTAGCTTCAGCTGAAAAAAAAATTCTCAAAATGAACTTTAAAATAAGAAAAATTTTAAACTAAAAAATCACCAAATTAAGAAAATAAATACATTTTACATTATTCTACTGATACAAAAATCAGTTATCTTGGACACTTCAGGCCAGACGCTTTTCAAATTTTTTTTTGATTTTGGAATGGTAAGAGAGAGCTTAGATCCTGCTCACCTATGCAAAACCATTTGATAAGTATGTCACAAAGAACTGCTGGAAAAGCTAAGTAACCTTGATTGGGAAGGATATTAAAATAACCCAGAACCTCTACTGGCAGCAAACCATCTGCGTATGGATAGAAAATAAGTTCAGTAAATATACAAAAAACAGAAAAGGGTGTAAGACAAGGATGTGTCTTTTCAGACTTATTCAACTTATACAGCAAAATGATTCTGAGAGAATTAAAAGTCCTGCCAGGATTCCAATATTGGTGACTGCAATTTTAACATGAGATGAATGTTGATGGTTGACATAGAAAGGAAACTACAAGAACTTCTACAGAAGGTAGTGAAGGAAATTGAGAAGCAAGAACTAAACATCAATTGCATGAGGACAGACTGTATGGTTGTTAGCAAAAGGAACAGCCCAACATGCAAATTACAAATTTGAGATCCCAAAATCAAACAAGTGCAACAATTTAAAATATTCAGGAAGCATTTTAATGGAGGACAGAAAGTGCAACAATTTTAAATTTGAAGGTACATTACATTAACGAAAGCAGCTTTTCAAAACCTAAGTAAAATAGAAAAATTTCATTAGAAACAAAGAAAACAGTACTGAACTGTAATATCACTCTTCCTATATGAATGCTGGACAATCTTGTCACAGACGACGAAGAGACTTGAAGCAACAGAAATGTGGTTCTATAGAAGGATACTGATAGGAAGGACTTGATAATTGCAGAGATGGTGTAGCTAGAGAATTTTTGTAGTAACCCTCTATGCTATACCTTGTCAAAAGACTTTGAGATATCTAAGGCAATTATTCTTGCGATGAATTTAATAACCAAGTCATTTTAAAATAGAAAATAAAACAAAGCTTATTTACACTATACTTTGACTATTGTCCTCATCTTTGTTATTACAATTGTGCCCCTTAGAATCCATTGTGCTCTTTGGCCTTCCTCAGGTACATATCAATCTGGGTAACCTAAAGGGAATTCTGAAAGACTTTCAAAAAAATGGAACACCAACAGTGCAATAATCAAGAAATTGGTATTTGTTTAAAAATAAATTTTCTTTAACCTTATATAACTGACAGTTATAATTTTTTTATTCTATACACTTATTAAAATTAGTAGAATGAATTTTTTTCTTCTTTATATATATATATATATATATGATTTTATTTTGATTATTTTCTTATTGATTTCATGACAAAATATATAACTGCACATAATGTGATTAAAAAAAAAATATTTTGAATTTAAGAGAATGTATTAAAATAATGAAGTTCGCAGTATAAAAAAAAGAGCAAAATTGGTAAATAGCTATTGAATATGTTAATTGATTGCATTCACTTGTAATTCTTTCTGAATTATTCACTGGCATCAAAATGATGCCATTATCTTTATTTGTTCTCTAAAATTATTATAATCCTATATAACCAATAGTTTAAGAATACAGTTTATTCTATGTGCTTTTATGAAACTTAAAATAGTCAAAAGGTGTGAAATGCAAATTATTTCCCTTTTCTATATCCATACAAAAAAATAATGTAACGGTTGTTAAAAGTAAAAAGTTTTAATAAAAGGTTCACATTCAAAAACGGCATTAAACTTTACATTTTTTGGATTCTTCAAGCATCTTTATTTAATCAAGGAAAATCTTGTGACAAACAGTAATGAGATTACTTTCAAAGTCACACTGAAAAATTACAAGTAATTTTTTTGTAAAATAAATTTTTTGTAAATAAATAAGTGTAGATTTTTCCTGTCCATTCTGAAAGAAAATAATGTTTTTATGCTTGGGGGGGAATGGGAGAAGAGAGAATGTTACGTCTCTTATCTTGAATATTACAAAAGGTGCAAGCAAGACTCAAAACTCATGTGAAATTTGAAAGGAACAAACATTTATTACAATGACATGAAACAATGTATCAAATAATAAAATTTTTATAAAAAAGTCTGCACAAAATTTTCTTTTGTGTGCACTATGAACAAGGCAAGATAACAGATGAAAAATATAAAAATTATAAGCTCTTGAAAAGGTTTAAAATACAACCTTCAAATCATAGAAAAAAACCCACTGAGAACATTATACAAAAACTTCATTTAAATTTAGAAATACTCTTTATGAAAAAGGTGTGCCCACCTAATAGAAAAAAAAAAAAAAAAAAAAAAAAAAAAAAAACCCAGACAGGCTGCTTGTTAAAACTCACATGTCACTGGGACAGTTAACAATATTTTTGAAGTTTCTTTCAGTTTTCTTCATTTTTTTTTCTTTTGCTGTCAGCAGCAGTGTGGTTGACTTTTAGTTTTTTCTTCATTCTTTGTTCCTTTTTGTCATCGTTGTAAATTCTGAAACATTTCAGCCTTTTGCTCTCAAAGTGACTTTCATATGTGAACACCACAATACTTTTCACCACCAGCCAGCCAGATACCTTCACATGTGAAGTTTAAGACCCTTCTCCTTATTTTCTGACCTGTGTTATATATCCTCAAAAGAGACCCAAAAATGGTTTTTAACTTTACATTTACAACGGTGAAAGTCTTCATTTTGATGGGACAATAAATACAAAGAGCATATATTTTTCAAATTTGGGGAAAAAACAAAAAGAAGAGAATCACCAATAGTCCACCACAACTGTTATTTGGGCCTTGGCAGTCCTTTTAGAGCTAATTCTAAATAGAAACGTTTACAGACAGATGTAGCATATGAAATATAAATATTTTTGAAATGCCTGGTTTTCATATAAAAAAAGTAACTTTAGAAGACAAACCTAGACTATTATAACATTTATTTAATCCATTTCCTTTTATTATTATTTTTGTAATTATTTGTAGCTAATAAATGTTACAATTGTTAAAAAATATATAAAAAAAAAAAATAAAATAAAGTTTTTTTTTAACTTTTGAAATAATTTTTGGTCAAGTTTTTATTTTAACTTCAGGGATTTTTTCATTGATTGTAAAGATGAAAAAAAAAAGAGTGTTGTGGTGGTGGTGGTGGTGTGTGTGGGGGGGGAAGCATCATCTTGAAGATGGTACCTGGCACCTATACCAAATTATTTTTTAATACAATTATTTTTAATGCCATCTCTTATTATTTAAATAAGAATATTGTCATTAATAAATGTTAAGTTTTAAAACGGAAACATTGTTACCAACATTTATTAATCAATCATTCAATCTGAACAATTTGTTCAGAACTTTTACTATTCTTACTTTTTCTAACGCAGAGTTCTTAAACAACTCATTTTAGCATTTCAAACGTTCTTTTATATAACATACGGTACCAAACAGCAAACAAAATTTCTTGAACGAGACTCATTATGAACACTCCGTGAAAAAAAATGATAAATTCGAAATAAAATGCCAAACAGCGCTCGAAATTTAATTTTTTTTTTCACAACCAATTGAAGCCAATAATTTTTTGAAACATTTTTTTGCCTCTACTTGAATTCTACAAACCCTCAAAAAAACTATTTAAAAAAAAAAAAAAAAAAAATCAATATTTCCTGCAAAAATGAAAATACGTGAATTCAAAATCGTTTTCACATGAAAGTAAAAAAAACAAACCCCAAAAACTGTTGTTTAGAAATGTTCAATCGAATAAAAAAAAAAAAACACTAATTAATTATTAATTTAATTAATTAAACAAAAAATGTAAATTAAACACTTTAAAGAAACAGTAACACGAAAAAATAAAAATATACAATCTACCTTAATAAAAATTGCAAACTGAAATTATACAATCAGAATATTATCAGAATTTTAAAAATAAACAAATATATTTTTAAAAGTTTTTTTTACAGTTACAAACACTTACAGGTTGTGCAAAATAAAACGTTTCAAAGTCAAGCTTTTCTTCAGGAGTCATAGGCAATATTTTGGCTTTGAAATTTTCGGTGAAACTACGACTAAATGTTTTCGGGAAATAACTCAATAGGTATTTAGCTTTTGTTCCGGAACAAAAAGCCATGAATAAAAATAAAAGTGCTTGAATCAGCCGAATGTGACGCTCCATCATTCCGATTACTAGAAAAATAACACCGTGAGGCAATACATCTGTGATATATACGAATGAAAACATTAGTCACATGACCATAGAACTTGGTCACGTGATGTACACACACACACACGCATACACACATACACACACAAATATTTTTCTATGATTTGTAAATAAAGTCGGTAAATTTGCAAGGTCTTAAATTTTAAATAAAATGTGTTTATAGATATTTTTTTTTAATACCGCTGAGAACCTTTTTCTTTCACAAAACAAATACTAATTTACCTCCCCTGGACCTCCCAAAACTCCATTTTAAAAAAAAAAAATTGAATCTGAAAACTCTTGCATTTTTAAATCGAAAATGAAAAATAACCATATTTTGCAGCATAAGCACCAGAAACCTTCGGTAATGAGAATGTACCATCCTGGTGTAAAATTGCCTGATTATTTCAAAAATGACATTAACATTGCGCTCGATTACCGTTTAGCAGTTATGGACAATGAAAGTTCGGCTTCTTTCTCGTCGCGTAGACAGAACGAACGCCAATACTGGTTTTGTTTACATACGTTTGCCTCGAATAATCATGCGCGGAAGCTTCACTTGTGTTGATTACTGCGCAATGCGCGAAATTTAAAATAAAAATTTCGTGCCTGAAAAGTAAAAAAAAGGATTTTTCCTTTTTTTGTCAACGATGTTTTTTTTTTTAATGTGTTATGAAACTTTGCAAGAATTTCTAAAACAATGTGTTTTTCACTAGAGAGAAAAAAACAAAACAAAAAACGCACGTTCCATTGTGGTGTGCTGCACAGATTTGTTTTTAAAATTGTTAATGAGGTTGTTAGTGAGGCTGCGTTTTTAGTGAGAGCACATAAATTTGCAAAGAACACAAGGAAAGAAGAACAAGAGATCAAATTGCATTCAACAATAAAATATATATTGAAAATCAAAGTGTACAACAATTGTGCTGATGTATTAATATTTAAGGGAGAGAAAAGTAGCTTCCCTTGTACTGATATCTGATGCAAGATAGGAATAATGTATTTAAGAACATTCTTGTTGAAATCTTCAGAGTTCAATGAATAAGATACACGATTGGATAAAAATTGACCAATCACTGATTTTTTTACAAAACCAAGTTAGGCAAAGTCATGGCAGAACATTTTGTGTGGTTACTGCGATAGGTAAATTGTCCTGTAGTAAACAGTACTTATTTTCTATCCAATTATAACTGAGTATTTTGTGGGCGTGGTAAGTCGGAGTAGTCACTACACCATGAACAGATAAAAAGAATCTGATGATTTCAAATATTTCATGCTAGAAACAATTACAAAATGTCAAAGCATAATTAAAAATATATTTTGGTCGTTCTTAATAATAACGGAAACATTTTGATGATACAAACTTTGTTTTTATTACATTTTTTTGTTTTTAGAAAATCACTTAATTTCATAAATTATTGATAAATTACATTTTAGGGTGATATTTTGTTATGCTATAAGCAGATTTATTAACGACAATATTGTCTTAAAGAATATTTTTGGAAAAAGAGTCACCCACAGCATTTTACTTAGAAAAGCTTTCAATTGTTTCTAACAAATTTAGACCAATTTAATAATATAAAGAATTCATTAGTTAATAAAGCTTTAGTTCCACAAAGAAACTGTTGCGGGAGACAAAAGTTATCTCCCTTCGACTAACCCTTTAAAAAGCTAAAAATAGATATATAGATAGTCATGTGAACTGCCCGGGAATCGTTAGGCGCGAAAGTCAAACATTTTCTTTGGTTCCTGGCAGTCGAACTAGTGTGGACTCTTCCACAACAAGCCAGTTAACCCCTGCTAGGAAATGCACTATTCCTGTTGTAATTTTCACCATCATAATCTTACAAAATATATAACAAGCATTCATTGTTTAATCACCTTCAATCTAGCTCACGGATTGATCAGTTTTGACCAATCAAATCACCCCCACGCGACAGATCTACTTTGGCGCCAACTCAGTCTGAGCCAGTCACGTGATACACTATATTATAAAAACAAAACACGGGTAAACTCCCTCGTGTTTCTTTTTCTCTCTCTCGCGTCTCATTTACCAAGATGTAATCTTCAAGAACTCCCGTCTTAACTAATGCAGTCAGACGTTAAAGACCATTGATAAATATGAACTCTGAAATCTCTTCTGAACTTTTACCAACTTGTACAATACACAATTCCAAACATGCTAAAGAAACTTTATTCTTCTAAACTACAGTTTGATAATTACTTTCACTTTATGAACTTAGGTACAAATATTACCTAATCTAAGAGACACAACTCTGTCTAACCTTTTCACTCAGTATTCATGCATATCATTTCATATAACCAATATTAAGAATTTCAACTGTTACATTTTGAAACAATATGTTTTTGAATAATTATTCTCTGTCTTGTATTAATTGTCGTGGATGGGAGATTATTGAACACACACAATTTTAAGCCTTCTGATAATTCAAACCTTCTATTCCTCTCCAACACACATCACACATTCGCAACACTAGAAAGACGTACTTATTCAGGCTTGTGACAATCAACAAGATAAGTACTAAAGATTACTTTTTTTTAGATATCAAATCCCTTATATATATATATATATATATATATATATATATATTCAATTTCTGTTATATGAAGACTTATGTGGTTATTTTAAACATTTAAACCTTTTTTATGTATTTATGTTGTATTGCAATTCGCTTTGTTAATGAATCCAATAGCACATTTTCTCGCACAACATATTTGGATCACGTCGGGGTCACCAAATATGCTGTGTGAGAAAATGTGCTATTGGATTCATTAACGAAGCGAATAGCAATACAACATAAAAACATAAAAAAAGGTTTAAAATAACCACATAAGTCTTCATATAACAGCAATTGAATATATAAATATATTTATATCTGAAATGTTCATACAAGTTGTGTCTGTCTTTTTGTAAGAGATTTGATATCTAAAAAAAAAAAAGGTAATCTTTAGTACTTATCTTATGTTTATAGTCACGAGCCTGAATAAGTACGTCTTTCTAGTTCGACTGCCAGGAACCAAAGAGAATGTTTGACTTTCGCGCCTAACGATCCCCCCCGGACAGTTCACATGACTATCTATATATGTCAGAGTTTTAGCTCCTCTCAGTTCCTTAATCCTTCAACAGGGGTCTCTCTCCCTGGCTATAAATACTGGCTGACCCTTCACCTCGATCTCTTTTTTCATCAGGCCTTGGGCCTTATACCACCTCGCAGATGTGAGCTCTCACAGATACAGCGTTTCCCAAATTCTGGGAACACGCTAAGAACAATACACGTACGTACGAACACTCACCACAACACGCACATATAATATTCACCACACGCACTCAATGTAACTGTCCATGTGCTTGTAAACTGTACTTGTTGTTAATACATATATTTGTTTACATATATTTATCGGTCTTGTTTGTTTTTCTTTGGACTTAATTAAAGTCCAACTTTCTCGTGTAGCTGGACCGGCTAGCAGGAAATTTCTTAAGTCACGTGTGTTCTTCTACATACTCATCACCGCCACGGTCCGCTACATATATCTATTTTTAGCTTTTTAAAGGATTAGTAAAAAGGAGATAACTTTTGTCGCCCTCAACAAAACAATACTTTTAATTGGAAGAAAGGAATTTATACCACAGAAAAACTATTTTTAAAGCTTCATAAATCACGTTTTAGGGTGAGATTCTGTTTCATTAGCTATAAACAGATTTATTAAGGACAATATTTTCTTGCGTAGTAATCAAGACAAGTAAGATACGAATGGCTGTAAAAAGGAAGTTAAGTAAGTAAGCTTCCGCGCATTATTATTTACGGCATTCGTATGTAAACAACGCCAGTAATGTCAGCCGGACAACGCGAAAAAGATCATACTTACATTGACGATAAATCGTAAACGGTAATCGAGCGCAATGTTTTAATGTCATTTTCGAAATAATCAGGTGATTTGACATTACCGGGGGCTTTTGGTGCTTATACTGCAAATGAACCTATTCAGTATTGCATCCATGTTTAGTCACTGAACAGCTTAGTGTTACAGAAAAAGAAGGTTTGACCTTTTTTTTTTTTTTTTTAATTATAAGTATTTTGTAATCACTTCATAAAGAAACAGACATGAGTGGTGCTTAAAAAATTCACACATTTGCAAAATTGTTTTGTATTTGTTGTTCTTTATATTATATATTTTATCGTTGAAACAAAATTGTTTTCTCATTGTTTTTCCTTGATTCAATAATGTATAAATATTAAATGCTCTTCAACACGCAGCCACGTTAATTTCCTCAACGCAGTACACAAGTAGCTTTTACAAATGCTTGCCGTATTATCTGTATGTATGTGCGTGTGATGGCGATGATGATCGCTACAAATTAAGTAAATTGAAGGATACTGACCGAAATAGAAGAATATAGATAAAAATAAATAAATAATTGTGACTAAGTTAAAACTTAAAAGTAGAGTGAGTCCAGGTAAGTTTGGTTGGCGTGATAAACCACAGTTCGAAAATTCAGTTTAAATGTCCGTTGAAAGCGTTGAATAGTTGCTGGTTAAGTTCAATGATGAACCTTCAGTAGTATTTAACCAAAGTGTACGGAATAGGTTGTTTGAGTCTGGGCGTTATAGTTGCTGCATAAATCAAACGATGTAAAAAATAACCGAAGTTGCGTTAGTGCCTGGTTGCTGGCGTAGAACAGATCCACGATGAAGCGGCGAGGAAATAAAAGCCACTGTTGCGTTAATGTCCGGATAGTTGCTGGTTAAGTCCAACGATGAACCTTCCGTGGTATTTACGGAATAGGTTTAGTTGAAATCTGGATGATA